CTATTTTATCCAGTAGCGTAAACTTATATAAAAAAATCCAATTATCTTTAATTAATAAGCTCACAAAAACTGGGAATAGAGCCCCTATCTCCCGTCATATTTTCCCAGTCAGCCCATAAAACGTGAACGATGGGCGTCCTTTAATCTACACACTGGGTTTTTTGTTTTACCGGGGAAAATGAACGCAAAAAAGCCGTTACCAAACGGTTTCAGTTCCTCCCCCGCTTGGAGCTCGGTATAATATAATAATGTTAATAATTGAGTTATTAAAAAAGATATAGCGGCTGTTAACATGATAATAAGGGCGGTGATGGATGGGCCCTTGGGGGACAAATTGGGGTAAAACCTGGTTAATTTAAGGGCCGCCCTCACCGTAATTGTAGACCACAAGGGTGATCGGCCCCGACTTGGGGTGCATCTGCCTCGGCCTTGTCTCAAACATTTAGATCATTTCAATATCCTTCCTGTTCAAACCGAAAAACAAAGAAAAAACTTATCCTACACCGAAGGTTTCAAAAGGAAGAGTCTTTGACAGGCAAAACAGCGAGACTATGCGCACACTTCAATTATCAGATCGACAGCCTTACAGCTATAAATAGTGATGAAACTTCTTTTGGATTTTCTGCGAGCCATTTTAAAATATCAGTTATGCAGAAAATTACGGTTTTATTTCATTAGGATTTGGTTAATTAATTTAATGGTGGCTGAATATGCCAGGAATCTTTGGAAACAATAGTTGGACTTTCGACCTTCAAATGATTGTAGGTTATTTCCTGGACGGTGAAGGATTTGGAAAACAAAAACTTCACCCCCATGAAAAATTGTTTTTCAGTTTTCCCTCTTTCAGCATTCGCCATATATGATTAGAGTTTTTTTATTGCTTTCTGTACAAAATTTTTCTGTATAATAATGAAATTGTAGTGAACAATAATACAAAAATCTAACAGAAATTTGTCAGACCTCGGTGATGGGGAAGAGGAGCCGACCATTGATGGAACTCTCAGTGTTCAGGATTGTTGGTTTATTGTTTATGGGTTTTGTTAGGAGTTCACGAGGGCTCTGCGTTCTTAGGCGGCAAGGAAGATTGGTAACGCGGGACTTTGAAGACAGGGCCATTGAACACAGCTAATTGTATGGACAGCATGGAGTGAAAGTGGTAGAAACGTGTTCGAATCATCCCCATCACGGATAGGATGTCTAGGTCTGTGAATGGTTTGTTTAGTGACTTACAACCGCATTTAGGATGAAACGGAAGACTTGATTGAAAACATTGGATTCTTTGGATATTGGATGACTTGGGTGAACCCCACAGATCGACTCTATATGTCCAAATCGGTCTAATTAGTGTCTCGTATATTGTCGCATCGCCCAGAGGCCTTTTTCATATAAGCTCACACCCATGGGTCTGAGGTCGCGTAGACAACGTCCACTGAAGGATATATTATACCGGGGGCCGAACAGTGTTGAGTAGATTTAGTAGAGTTGTAAGAGGGTTGATAGAGCTGAGTAAAATGAAGAAGCTTGACAGATGTTCCCATCATTACTCATGGGTGTTGAGACCCATGGTGATCTTTAACGTCCGGACTTTTCCCAGAGGGGACCTCTCAGACGCCCAGTGTTCTCTAATAGAACACCAGGAGGATTTTACATGCATGGACTTATCACATTCCATGGCACATTCCTCAGAAGTGCCCTAAAAATGACACATCTATACATGTGCCTTGAAAAAAGCAGTTTTGTGGTTTCCGGCACAGCCTTTCAGCCATGCCTTTCACCACCCCAGAAGAGATAGAGAAGGCACTCTATCTCCGGCTCCGGTACCCTTCAACTAAGGTACAATTTGTTTACAAACCACGACCACCACAAGTCCAACCTCAATTAGAAGAACCGTTTGGATGCTCAACTCCCATGGTTCAGTATTATTTCTAAGGTGGGACTGATCATACGAACCCCCTACTGATACACCCGTTTCATGATGGGTGCTGGTTCAGTAATCTAGGAAGCCTCTGCCAAAACAGAGGGGAGTAAGGAAAAGAAAGGAAAATTAGGAAAAGAAGGGTGTAGGAAGGTAAGGGGGGAAATTTTCCTCCATCATTGGTTACCCCCAGGCACCGGGGTTGATGGTCGGACTTTGCCTGGGTAGACTCGTACCCCATCCCTAAAAGGTCCGGGACTTGGTCGGCTCACGTGTCCTGCATAAACCTCTTGGACTTGTTCACAAACCCCAAGATTTTGGACCATTTTACCTCGGGGAGTGATTTGTCCTCTCCTTCAAAGATTTCGAATCTAGACCTAGCATACCTATCACACTCACGCCTTTCAGGATTATATAGAAAGGGATAAATAGGAAAAGGAATATGTTATATGTAAACAATGTTTGTAAATCCCAGGCCCTGAAAATGATCTCAATAAAGATCGAAACGTTGGCACGATAAAGAAAATGTTTTTCTGAAACCTACTTCACACCAGACCGCATCTCACGATTTCTGAATAATTATGATATCATTGTTCAACATTGTGGTGCGGTCTGTTTGGTGATGAACCTGTATCTTCATCCAGATCTGCTATTCTAGCTTTCACCTAAACAGTCGTAACACACAGACGAACCACTGAAGATGGTTCTATGACAAAACATAACTGACATAAAAAGCAGCAGGAAAATACGCTACCATAACTTGATTCAATTTAATGCAATTTTATGAACGAGTTTTCACTCATTTAATTTGGGATTGAGGTTTACCGAATGATAAACTTGTAGCTGGTTCATTATCGACCATTTAGATCTTCGAGGTTTTGGTACTTAAGGCGTTTTAAATCTTCAATGGTATGCCATCTAAACTACCGTTGAACATAGCGAAAATTCGAAACTCATCTGACAGACCAAAATGAACGAAAACCACGAACCTACAGGTCCCACTCCGCAGATCTCAAGAAGGAATTTTGGCTGTGTCTATTTTAGCTAGTACCAATTCATATATGTTTAGCGGTCATAACTGGCCGTATTAATTATTTGAATTTATTATTCTTTGTCTGAGGTCGTAGTTGAATGAAAAAGTTAGTGTCACGAGTGGGATACGAACCCACGATCTTCAGCTAAATACGCCGCTGCTCTAACCATTTGACCTATCGTGACTTCGATCCACTCCACGATAGCCGAAGGTCGTGGTTCGAATCCCGCTTGTGACAGTAACTTTTCATCTCAACTAAGACCTTAAGTAATTAATTAAGAAAGTACAAATAGTTAAAAACATATTCTGAGTGTAATGAACCGTTCAGTACGAATAAAGGTTCATACTGATTTTGACATGGCCGCGCACCTAAACATTACAAGATGCATGTACTGAAATGTTAGGCAAATTGAACCCTAATCGACTGTGAAATTGAAGAGCTACATAATGAATACAAATTTTACTGCCAACTTGTACTTACTCAAAAACTTAGATCCAATGCTAAAGAAGTCTAATGCTGGAAGAGTGATATTGATGACATCAGAGGTGACACTTTCTCCTTCCTCTTATCCATATTGGATGCCGTATGCTGCAAGTAAGAGCAATATCCAGCAAAACACCCCGCTCTACGGCAAAACCAAAACATGAGGGTGATCTTCCTGTAAACATCAAAATCCATTAAATCTTTTACGTATGATACTTTGCGATAGTATGTATTATATGATGTATGAGAGTTTATAATAATTTTACTTTCATAACAAATTCCAAGTAACTGTCACAAAAATAAACTTTTAATAAATTTTCCCAACAACAACAAGCACACTTTCCCACGTTGAATTGCTCATAAAATCATGGCAAATGTGATTTTCTTTTAGCATTGGACACCTGTTGAAAATCCGCAAAATATGGTTGGCTCAGATTAACTATAGGGAAAGATTGGCTTGGGGTTGGTAGATTTGGGGGGAGGTCTAAGTGATAGGATGATAATAGGGGGTAGATAAGCAGCATATTCGCAGGATCCGATGTTCCCACAAATGAGTTTATCATACGATTACACGGTCGCATTGGGAGGGTAGCTCACGGCTGACAAATCGCTGCTTAATCCTCTGGTAATGGATGTGCGTGCGCCGTGCGCCACGTGCCGATCCGGCTGGTGAACTATTGAACACCACAGTTCTTATGCAAATCCCGCTTTTGTTTGCTTTGTCAAAATATATACGTTCTGATTGGCGTGAAGTGGGGCGGGATGTATATTTTCAAATTGACTATTGACATCGAAAGAACGAACAAGCGTCATTATAGTTTTTCAAAACTGAATGTTAGAGACAGTTTTGAGTATAACCAATAACACAGAGAACAATTCCAGTTTTGAATTAACACAAAATTGTAAAAGAATAACCCAATAATAAAATAAATTATGAAAAGAAAGTTTATGAAAAGTTAGTATCGCGAGGCACGAACCAAAGTCTTTGGGATAAATCCTCCTACCTTCTACCATTGAGCTACCCATCAGTCTCAGGGTTTTCTCACAGAGAGGACACATAAAATCAAGGTATTCTCAGTCCCACAGTACACATAAATAATGCAGTATATTAGGAGAGGAATTTGAATAAGTAACAAATCAATTTACATCTTCAATTGTGCAGTAGATGAAATCGCGCAACAGAAACAAGCCAAAGGGAAACTTTTACCAATTAGTGTTCCTATGAGAAAAGATAAGATGTAGAAAAGATACTTTCGGAAATCAAAAGATACAAGACTAAATAGCTGCTGCACCATGCTTGCAACCAACGCAGAAACAAGAGCTGCCAATGAAAACAAATATCCTTTGGATTTTTGTCCTTTATCTCTCGAATATTTGGAAAAAAGTTGTTAAATTTTAGTTAAGAGTTGTTAAAAAAATGCAATATTAGTTGGATCTCGAGAGCATAAAATGTTATAAAGTGATTTTATTTTTTTATTTTTTTTTTGGTATAATTAATATATACAACCATTTATGAAAAAAATAATTATTACATCGTTAACTTTATGTACAAAACATATTTTCCCTTGTTATATTTTTATTTTTGCACTGCACATGAATTCATACAGTTTATTGTATGTCGCTTTGGTGAATGAGGAAAGAAGAATTTCGTAGTTAATAACTTCTCCCAAGATGCTACTTCTTTCTTCTTTGTATCTTTTGCATCTCATTATGATGTGCTGGAGATCTTCAACGCAACCGCACACTTGGCATTGAGGTGAATCCTTTTTCCCTATCTTATTGAGATAGTTGCCACATAGCCCATGATTCGTCAGCAGTCTATTTATGGTCGTGGTCTGCGCCCTGTCGTAGTAATCTCTACGGTACCAAGGCTTTCGTCCTACTAAGGGGAAAATTGTCTTGAAAAATTGGCCTGCTCCTGCGGACGAATACGTCAATTGCCAGTCCACGAGAAGAGTCAAATGTAGGGATCTTTTTATGTCTTTTTTTGGAACTGGTATGGCCAATGTGAGTCCAGACTCCGTTGCTTTTTTGGCTAATTTGTCAGCTATTTTATTACCTTTTATCCCCACTTGCGCTTGTATCCACACTAATGAAACTTCCAGCCCATCCGACTGTATTTCTTGGATACACTGGAGAATTCTCATTAGTAAATGCTCCGTGATAAAACCCTTCTCATTCCCTTTTAGTTTTTTCACTACGCTCTCACTATCTGAGCAGACCACCGTGTGTCTAATTTGTGTTTGTTTCGCATATTCAAGTGCCTTTAAAATTGCGACCAATTCTGCAGAGTTCATTGTCAGATTGTCTGGCAGTCGAAACATTGGTTTCAGATTTGCTTTGGGGTCGTAAAAAGCACAACCTACTCCCTTTGTTGTAACTGAACCATCTGTGAATATGAAGTGCCCATTTGGAAAACTGGCCTTTAATTCCGACCAACATAGTTGGTTTGCTATGCTAGCTGGGTGTTGGCTATATTTGTTGCAAAATTTAACATCGGGACTTTTAAAATTTGTGACATATTCCGCTTGGAAAGCCGGCAGAACACTGTTTTTCTCCACCTTCACTTGTATTGGTGCCATATCCGTAAATACCTCTGCTAACAAAGGCATTGACTTTTTTCCCCAGTATTTTTGTGCTAAAGTGAGGAGAGTTAAGGTGGATATTTTCCCAACCAGTTCTGATTTTCTCGCCATCAGGTTTGTTAGAAGCCTTCCCGCCAAAAGTTTGCGTCGTAGATTCAGGGGGGGTTCATTGGATAACACCCTCAACGCATCCACTGGGGTACTTGGCAACCTCCTAAGCATAACCGGAGGGCCTTATTTTGGACGATATCCAGTTTATTTAGTATCATTTTGGGTGCTTCTCCAAAGAAAATGGAGCCAAAGTCGAGAACTGATCTTATGTTCGCTTTATAAAACATTAAGCTGACTTTTATATCCGAGCCCATTCTGGGATGAGAGATACAACGGAGGATATTGCACATTCGATCAGCTTTCGTTGCTATTTTTTGTATATGGCTTTTCCAGCTCATTCGTTTTGTAAGTGTCAAGCCTAGGAAAGTAACCTCCTCACATACTGGAACGTCGTAAGTTCCCAGCTTCAATACTTCCGGAAGAGATAGATTCCTTTTTCTACTAAAAGGGCACACTTGCGACTTGCTTGAGGAAATAACCATTCCATTTATATTGGTCCATTTTTCCAAGGAGATGGCCGTCTCCTTAAGGGCTTCTACTGCTGCGTTAGCTTCTTTATGAGATGTATAAACGCCGATATCGTCAGCAAACTGTATGATTTTCACCCCTGGAGGAATGATTTCTTCCAAATCAGATACGTAAATTGCGTATAAAATTGGGCTCAAGACGCCCCCCTGCGGAAGGCCAACTATAGATCTGCGAGGCCCAATAGTAGTCCCATTTATATTAAAAGGATTAAGTGATTTTATAAGGGTCAGCAGATCTTAAAATTTTGGAATATATGACTCAATTAAGATTCCACTACGTAAAGAAACGATGCTTTAAAGGACTTGCATACATATATATTGTTATTGTCTATTTCAAAATGATTAATTCGTCTGACAGATAGCAACATGTTTTGAAGATCATTTCGAAACTTAACTAATTAATGCAGTTATGTTAATGAATGTTATTCGTGCATATTAGAAAGTATATCTTGCAAGATAATTTAAACTAATTAAATTTACTTTTTACAAAGGGAAAAGATAATTGCTTAAGATAGGTGTTCAACCGATTATAGCCTTCTTTGTACGGTTATAGTTATACGTCGTATTTTTTCATTGTTTGCTGTACCGCTTTCCCTAGTCTTTTTGTGTTGATTTCATTATTTTTTTACTGTTTTTTATTTATTCAATGTATATTCTTTATTTGTTTAACCACTTTAATTTTGTTGCTTTTATTTTGTATTTTATTTTTAGCTATTTCATTGTTTATTGAACCACTAGGTAGTAAGTTTATAGTTTTTATAGTCTTTAATTAGTTTTAGTTTAAGTAGTTTTTATTGTATTTTATTCAGTTTAAGTAGTTTTTAGAGTCTTTCAATTAGTTTTAGTTTGTAGTTTTTATCTATATCCATTGTTTGTTTCGTTGTTTGTGTTATTTCATTTATTATTTCAAAATATGTCGGACAAAAAACGGGCGGCGAATTTCACAAAAACTGAGGAGAATATTTTGTTAGACCTAGTTCGGAAATATGTCCTCATTGTGGAAAACAAAAAGACAGACGCCGTAAGTGCCAAACAAAAGGCAGACTGTTGGCAACAGATTACAGCGGAGTATAACTCTCATGGGGTTTCTGCGAGAAGCAGTGCCGTTTTAAAAGGAAAGTACGAAAATATTAAGAAAAGAGGAAAAAAAACTTTCCGAAAAAAGTGCCCATATTAAAAAAACTGGAGGTGGGCCACCACTTCCAGCTGACGACAGTCAGGACAAAGTATTAATGGATATACTGGGTACCCAGTTAACTGGTTTCCAAAGCCAGTACGATGATGATAAGATATTTTCTGTAACACGAAGTTCACTGCATTCTTTGTCATTCTGAATCTATTGAAGAATTCATCGTTATCCCATTCGTGAAAATGTTCCTGTCTGGTTCTAAAAACCCTTTCTTTGTTTATATGTAGAGCTACTAACTCAAGGAAATCTTCATCATCTGTTAATTCCTCTAAATAACTAGGTAAAAATGCGTCCATTTCGATCTATCTCAATATACGGTTAAACAACGCGCAGGTTATATTATCAAATGAACGTTGTTCAGCTCTGAACCCTGTTTAACCCGGGCTCGACGACCGTTCAGAATTGATCGACGTTCATCACTTGATCTCGGATCAATAGAGATTGAAAAACGCCGATATTTGTGTTAAACTCCGTTCAGTACGGAACCAAGGTTAAACGGAGTTGGTGCAACGGGCCCTTAGTAGACTTCGTCCGTTCGTTCTAGATGAAATCCATCCCCGTTAAGGAATATTTCACAAAACCTTCCCAAACATCGTAACTCTCCCGACATATTCCTTTCAACCCTCTCGCCGGTTGAAGAGATGATGGCCGGGAGATCTTCTAAAACTGGTAATTACAATGATATTGACATAAGTATTACTTAAACTCAACATTTTGACATCATTGGACTACTACTAAGGTACTCTTGTTTTTAATTTTTATGTATTTTTATATATTTTTATTTCTCCTATCCCATTGTAACATGTTGCCAAATTGAAGGTAGTTGTAAAGTACTGCAGATTAACAAACAATCACGAATGTTTAGATTTATTGATTGAGTGTCATTGCTTTTAAGTAAAACATTTTGAAAAGAAAACTACTGGGTCATGAGATTTAAAAAAAAATTTCTGAACAAATGATGTAAAACTGTTTGTAATTAACTATTGCGAAGTGGTGAAATCGTTTGTTAGTAAAGTGATAACAGAGTTAAATTAGTTGGGTAAGATAACACATCCAGTTAAATAAACGATGTTCTCTGTTTAGTAGGAATTTGCATGAAGAGGACATAACACCTAAGGGAGGACGATTCTCATTCCGAGTATGTTTTAATAAAATAATAGGGCGATAGAGAAAAGGGAAGAGGGAAAATCCCAGGGGTGGGCTATCAAATCAGAACGTGGAATGTTATGTGTGCGTATTCCTGTTGGGGATGTTCAATTCTGTTTTGCGGCTGTATTCGGGGGCGGGGGCGCTGATGGAATAACCGAGGGACACCCTGTGCCGATTACAATATGGAAATTTCCGGTGGAATTATATTAACGGTAGACCCGGTTCGTGGGGTGGAAAGAGGAGAGAGGAGCGGTTTCCGGTTTGTGGTTTATCTATAGTAATTAGGAGTATGTTTCCCCTGACGGCCGTTACGTCGTGCTGAGGGAGAGGGCCGGCCCGGCGAGAGAGCGGCCCTGGAAGAGCTGAGGGTCCGCTAATGGAAAGTAATAGAATAACCCTGGAGAGAATGAGGAGTGTTTCTAATTATTTCGACGTTTCTCGAGCAAACTTTGCCAGCTAAGTTTGAATGGGGTACCAGGAACGGAATAACCCCGATCCGAACCAACTTCAACCAGGATGAAATCTAATGGAATTTAAAGGCTTTAATCAGCATGAAGTTTAACGACAGATTAAAATTACATGACGCTTTACCTTCGACTTCTTCTTTTGTTTAAATTTGAAGTTTAACACATGGAACAATATTGAAATTGAGTGGGTTTTGCAGTTGAATTTTTGGAAATAATAATTCTGCTCACAGAAGTTTCAGGCACACGTCTCTCGACATTTATGACGTAATAATTATATTATACATTCACGTTGAGAGACGTGTTTGAATCTTAGTCTGATGACGTGTTTTTAATACTTGAAATTCTCATAGATGCCTAAAACTTTTATGAATAGTCTTCTGTAGAAAAAGTTTCATCAAGTCATTCAAATTTCCTTGGCAGAGGATATTTAGTTAAGATTTTTTTATGATGGTGGGGGGTTGACATAGAATTATGATATTCCTCTCCTACATTGCGACATAAGTTGATATGTTGTAGAACCCCTATAAGTTATAGCCATACCTTGTAAAGTGCATGTTTCTTATAAGACTAAGCACTATCATAGGTGCTCCTTCCGGCACCTCTTTGGGTGTGAGAATTGCATTACCTAAGAGGCTGTAGCGTAACCGTGCTAATGCTTCACATTCACAAAGAATAGGTGCCGATGTTTCTGGTCCTTCTGACAAAATCAGCATGTTTCTGTCTGCTTTACCCATCTTTTTTAGGTGGTAGTTAAGAGGGACGACGTTATAATTAAAAGATTTAAAAATCATGGAAAGTGCGCTTTTTCTTATAAGACTAAGCACTATCCTAGGTGCTCCTTCCCGCAACTCTTTGGGTGTNCTCTCTCTCTCCCTCCCTCACTCTCTCTCTCCCCCTCCCTTCCTCTCTCTCTCTCTCTTTCTCTCTCTCTCTCTCTCTCTCTCTCTCTCTCTCTATCTATCTATCTATCTATCTATCTATCTATCTCTTTCTCTATCTCTATCTCTAACTCTATCTCTATCTCTTTATCTTTCTGTCCCCTCCAGGTGATAGTAACATATTATAACTTCGCCTTGTTTTACGATTTTAAATTTTAAACCATACAATTGGTGCGATTATTAGTACTAGTAACGTTTTTATTGAACATATACATGATAGGAAAATTCTTTTTTGAGTCAGTCTATTAAATCTGTTTAGAAAAACCCTTGAGGATGATGAAAAGTCTTTTTGAAATTCTATCCAATGGGCGTCGGTAATATTTATCGAAGAGGAGCTAAGTGACAGGGTCGCTAGTAGTTTAGTAAGGCTTAAAGGGCAGACTCACCTCCAGCGGGAGAGCCCCTTCGGTATCGACAAACTTGTAAACCCCCCGGCCCGCCGCCACCTTCGCCGCCCCCGGACTCTTGATAAAACGGCAATCAAACAGCCATGTTCCGCCACCCGCCCCCAGTTGCCATGACGACCTGGAAGCTATTACTCAAACCGCAAAGTAATCCTCCTCTCTCTCCGACTTCACCCCTGGAACCGCCGCCCCCCCTTTACCGACAGTCATTG